TAATTGATCGCGTTTCACAAGTGTCGGCGGCAGACGCGCCGCTCCGCGGACCGTGGCGAAGGAAAAGGACAATCGCGAATATGGAAATATATGAAAAATACCATTGAGGATGTTTCCCCGAAGCCACACATATGGAAGCTATTTCGAGGGTTGTCGAGCAACGATCACCGCCACGGTGGTCAAAACTGCATCTGCGGTTCGGGGAGACCCCTCCGTCGCCTCACGGAACGTTGGACACTGATCAGTCTCGACGCATGCCGGCTTCCCCTCTCTCTCTCTCTCTCTCTCTCTCTCTCTCTCTGTCTGTCTGTCTCTGTCTTTTTCTTGGAGGCTCTCTCGCCGCGGCCTCTCTGGAATCAGCGAATTTCTAACGGAAAGAAAAACGGCGGAAGCATCGATCGCCGCGAGTTAACTCGAAGGTTTTTGCCGCATCGAATGGCCGTGCATAAAGCGAGCGTCCGCGATTTATAGCGTGACTTCCAGTTCCTAGTTGGCCCCGGACGAGGCATTCCTTCCGAGGAATAATTGATCGATCAGGCGAAAACAGCGGTGCCAAAGGGGGCTCGGATTAATGGAGGCGCATCGCGTCATTCATAGCTCGCGCGTCGCAGAGACGAGAATACCGAGGAAAACGCGTGCTCGGAGGTCCCCGGATTCTTTCGGGGATCTCTGAGGCTTGATCGCCGTTGTCGCCACGGACGGAAAGAGGAAACGAGAAAAATGGCCCGCTCGCGGAGCGAGCGAGGATTACAAAGGCGCGGCGAAGTGTCCGGGCTCGGCTCATAATTTTCTAGCGGCCGCGACGTGTACGTGTCAGCGCGTCGCGACGCACCCGTCCGTCTCATCGCGGCTGTAACACCAAAAACGAGCGTTCGGCCGTTTCATTGCCACCCTCCGCGAAAGTTCCGTTTTTCGGCTGCCGGCGTTTTCTCCTCGGATCTCGCGCGACTTTAGAGCCGCGTCGGAATCCGAGGTATTCGAGGCATTCGAATCAAACGTGTAAGATCTAACAGATGTTTAGCCACTTTAATCGATCGACATATGATTGTTGTTCATCGAACAGCTGGATGTTCGGTAGTTGATAACGAGAATCTAGCACTTTGCCTCCGAATTCCGCGGAAGTTAAGAACTCGGAGGTATTCGAGTTAGACGCAAAAAGATGCTCGGTTACCTCGATTAACCAGCGTTCAATGATTCCAGTTGGAAGCCCGTCGTTCGATCCCACAATCGGCCGGTTTCCCTGTTTATTCCGGGGGAATTAATTCGGTCTTAGCGGTCGTCGAAAGTGGGCAGAGAACGAACGAGCGCCGGCACAGACGCGTTTTATTGGGCCAGCATGGTTGACAGCAAGAGTGACTGCGCTCGTAAAAGCCTCGTATAAATAAAATCGCCGGGAATATAATTGTTGCCGAGAGCCAGCAACATTCACCCCACGCTCGAGCGTAGAACGCGGTCAGCAGTCGGCGCGACGTTCTCCAGTTTTTACAATACTCACGAGCCGTTTCCCCGAGACACCGCGCGTAAAGTTATTAAAAAAGTCCCTGCTTCCCTCGCGAGGACTACCGAACGGTCTCGTTCACCTGTGCGGTTCGACGATCCCGGTGGCGGCGATAATAATAAATCCGCGCCGAGAATGGAGACCGACGCAGTGTTTGATTTCCCGCATCGAGAAAAAAGAAATCGAGTCGCGGGGAGCGACGTTGGGGTGCGATGTTTGCTCCACGGCGAAAGATCTAAAGCCATTCGCGTTCCCTTGTTTGCCGTGCCGGCTTTTTCACTTTTTCCCCTTTTGTCAGCGAGCATCTTTTACCAGCTCGATCGATGTTTACATAGGAATGCGTTTTGACAGCGGACTCTATATTTTTCTGAGATTAATTGGAATGGGAAAAGTCGCTGGAATATCTGTCTCAGATTTTCGCATTGGAAAATGTTAAATGCGGTACATGTTACCGTTTCTAAGTAGATAACGAGAGGATGCACAAAAGAAATGATTAAATGGAGAAGGAATAAATTCAATTCGATTATACGCAACGAAGAGGCTGACACTTTTAGACGGTTACCGATTGAAACATTTACCAAATAATGTTTATAAAATTCAATCTGCGTTAAATTGCGTTCCGTAAACCTACTGTTAATATTTAGTCAGAAAGTAATGAATATTTTTCACGAAGAATGCATCGAGTGCGAAGGGTCAACCCTTTGCTCGAGAAATAACTCTGAGTCCAATTGATTTGATATAACAAAATTACAAAGTGTTACGTATAATATGAAGTTTCATATAATGTGAATCGATATGTGAAATATTTATATAAAATAGCTTTGTTTCCTAATAGTCTTAATAGTGTTTCATCGGAAAGTGTCGAACATTTCTAGTAAAAATCTTCAGAGTGCAAAGGGTTAACACTAAAACTACCAGAGGGGTCAAATGACACATTCCTGATGTCTTTTTGCAATTATTAGAAGGGTAACAAATGTTCCCCTGAGAAATTATTGAAAGAATTCATTTAGCATTACGCAAATTGAATTGTACATCAATCAAAGTCTGCACTCTTGGAGTTTCTATAGCGAAATTTTCAAAAGTCAATTGAAGTCCTCGGTAGTTTTAGGGGTTCACGTTCGATCGACCGGTGATACCGAGGAGGCCGAGGGAAGTTCGGCCAGCAGGATAAAAGATCAGGGTTCTCGCGTTAAGGCGAAATTGTTACTCGACACCCTTGTGTAACGGGAGCCAGGCCGCGGCGATGAAGAGGACCAATGTTCCAGTGCATAAAGAACCGTGGTTCAGCGTGTCCCTGAAAATTGAAACCAACGCGACGCCGGCGCCTGTCGCCTCCACGGTTTTCATGAAAAGCGCGCACAGTTCGACTTTTCGTCGGTTTCGCGAGAAATTCCAGCTAAGTCTGTGCATACGAGAATGCTACTAAATTTTGATCGAACGTGTACGAATGTTGGAAATAATTGATAAAATTGTATCGTCGATGGTCGTCTACCTGTCTCTTTACGGTGCGCGCTTCGTCGAGGACGAACAAGTGATCCAATCACTACGCGCCATTTTTAACCCTTAACAGTCCTATGTCGAGTCAGACTCGACATATTTTATTGCAACTTCTACCTTCAACAATTTTTTCTATATTCATTTGTAGTACAACTGCACCATTTAATACTTTGCCACGTAAACACTCATCAAAACTCCCATGTACTCGAAATAGTACTCTATTAACCAGAAACTCAGAAATCAAGATTCTTAATGACTGCTCTATCTTTCTTATATCTCATATATCCAACAAAATTCGGTTATTCGATACGTCATGAAAGAAATTGATGTCCGCGTTTCTGTAAAAAATAATGTCACCTGAATTCGGGTGACGTGGCAGTCAAAGTGTTAAAGGTAACATTTCGACTCCCAAATATTCTCGAATAAATAGAGCGTCCTATCAAGCTGTAATCGAATCAACTAGCATCGACGTGATCCTCAAAGTGAGGAACCAAGAGCACTTCGGACAAAGGGTTGAACGCGGTTTCCGGGCGATTCGATCGTCGATCGGTCCCAGCGTTAGCCGCGTAAACAAAGGTGACCGGCGACAGCGTTGAAATTTCTGGAGGACCATCCGCGTGCGCGCGAGTCCGCTTAACCCTGAACAGTTAGGTCTAGAAATCGTGAAAGGGCCGCGGTACCGTTTAGAAACCAATGAGCTTCTAATGAAGGTGGAGCCTGCCGAGGAAATCTCCACCTACTCTTAAAATGCTCTATTTCTCTCCTCTTCGGAGTGCGTGTCCCTCCGCGCGGAAGGCGGAATGAGACGGAAGCGGGAAGCCGGCGAGCGAGAGAGAAGGGAGCAGGCCGAGAGAGAGGCCCGGCCGGAGTGAAACGAGAGGAAACGAAGAGGAGAAACAAATGAAGAAGCTGAGGAGGAGATCTTCAAGTACGTTTTAACTCGGCCAAGTCAGTTGGCATCCCGCCGCCCCGACTAATATGATGACTTCGTCCGGGCACAGTGCTCGCAGTGATCTTCCTGCGAAATCGATCGATTGTTTGTGATTTGCGCGCGCGACGCGAGCGGACGCGAAGATTCCGAAGTCGAAGAGGAAGAACGTCGTTCGCCGTGATCGACTCATTGTTGCACAGAAGCGGCCGATCGTCGTGATAATTCCGGCCAGTAAACAAGGCGACGTCGATCCTCCTCGGAACGCTGTAGACGATCGTCGCGACAGCTGCTATCGACGCGAAGTTTCCCGGCGGGACGCTCGCGGCAGAGATTTTCAAGAAACTTTGACAACTCGGAACAAAGTGAAACCGACCGCGGACGGAGGACACAGAGCGAAGACATGGAACGGAGATATGGTTTTTCCATCGACGTGTACGAGGGACGCCGATGGTTCGAGTAACTTTTTTAGTAAACTGTTGCAGAATTCTTCGGATCGGGAACAACGATTCTACAAGAGGAGATTAATGTCGAATAATAATCGAGATAAAATGGATTCGAGTATTACTAGCGTGGTTTTTAAAGGATAAACGGTTTCCGATGCAAATTGGAGTTAATGCTCCGCGGATAGTATAGATACTAATCGGTCAATCCGTTTACCCTTCGGTAATTGTTAAAGCATCCGGCGGCGGGTACCAGTCGATTAACGAGACACGACAGTAAAAGGGTAGCATTAATAACGAGCAGGATCATATTTTTGGAAGAGCGCGCTCGGCCGGCACGTGGCACGAGGCCTTAATTGCTCCGTCACGCTTCACCTCGCCGATGCTTCGGTTAACATATTCCGATGGAAATTGCGCGTGAAAAGCTCCGCTCTTTTATCTCCGTCCCTCGTAAATAATCGTCGCGTTTCGCCGGGTGTGTCGACGACGGTACCGTCGCGTCTCCGCAGCTCGAGACGCGGTAGACGTTGCTCCACGGCTCGTCGGACGTTCGTCCGGATGATACTGTGCGATCAATTTCCCGGAGCTGCGAGTAGTAACCCGTCGGGAGATCAATTCCCGTGAATCGCGTTGTCTCGGAAAGGGAATCGACGCCGGCCCTCCAGGGATCGACCTCCCCGTCACGTCGGCAAAATGCTGTGCGCGAATCCCGAACAGGAAGGGAACAACGGCGTGATAGTCTCGCAGGTCCCGAACAACCACGCGCCGCAAGATTTCACGGTCTCGAGGCTGCTGGCGACTTCGAATCATTCTCTGGGTAAGAACTCGAAAAAAAACGATCTCGACGGGACGCCCAACACCTGACGACATGTAACGGTTTACGTAATTTCGTTACGTAATGCGGCGAAATCGCGAGCGGCGGTTCGAGGGGCCAGCGAACGGGGATAGATCCCCGACGCGATTCAATCCGCGTTTGATTCCATCGGAATCGCGCGTTTCCAGTCATGCTGTCCGCGTTATGCCGCCTCGATGAGTGCCCAAGCACAGTAAAGTCATTCAAGAATAGCCGCGGTGGCTGCGCCGTTCCTCTCCTCCGCCCCGTGCCCGTTCCCGTTCTCGTTTTCGGACGCGTAACGCTCGCCTATCGCGAGCGGCATCTGAAAAACACCTTTATCTCGGTTCACAGAATGCAACGAGAGCGCGACGGCGGCGGCCGCGAACAGAAGGCCCAGGCGGAGCAGAACGACGTTTTCGGCGCAACAGTTAGCCGCTCTGGAGAGGGTGTTCGAGAGGACGCACTACCCGGACGCGTTCGTCCGCGAGGAACTGGCGACGAGGGTCTCCTTGTCGGAGGCTAGGGTCCAGGTAACGTAACCATGCTCCTTAGATCCGCAGCTTCGAACGCTGACGCGAGTACGCGGTGAAATCCGTGGATTATCGGCTTGCTACCACTCGACTAGCCCAACAGATCCGACTCTAATCGGTCTTTCTTCCTCTTGTTTCCAATTTCCTATTCGTCGATACTGCCTCGCGTAACCGATCGAAGCTACGAACCGAACGCATCTGCGTCCGCGAGCTTCGAAACGGTAGCTCGGACAAGTAGCTTCGCAGCGACAGCTTGCGAGGGGAAAAAAAGATTCGACCTTCGATGCGGTGAAGTCGTTTGAAGACGCGATTCCACTTTGCATGGAGGAGGAATGTCCGTCAGAAAAAGTACCGTAACACTGGCGGGCTAGGTCCACACGTGTTCCTCGGGATCACGGCGAACGGCGACAGAAGGAAGCAGATACGAAGGGAGGAACGGAGGGAGAGGAGGGGAGAGGAGAGGAGAGGAGAGCCCGAGGGAAAAAAGGAAGAAACGGGGATGGAGGGTGGAGGTCGCGGACAGCTAGGCAGAAAATCGAAGGAGACAGGTTGTCAGGCCAAGGAGCTATGATTAGCTTGCCGGGATAGTTGCGCCGTTCCAGTAGCAGCATCTGCGCTTGGCATACGGTGTAGGATATGATGCGCCGCGCGTATCCCGCACGTGTGCGATGCCGCCTCGCCGCTCGTGGTACACGATCATGCAGAGAACACACTTTTCGTTGCTCGTGTCGATCCATCCGTTACTACCACTGTTGCGTTCCAAGCCTGTTGCGGATGTCTGTCCGCCTGTCTGACTGTCCGTCTGTCCCTCTGTCTGTTGGCGAACAGTACGCCTGCCAGGAGCCGTCACGCTGTTCCCGTCTCTCGCCTCTCACTCTCTCTCTCTCTCTTTCTCCTCTTCCCGGCTTCGGTGAACCGCGCGCGATTTTGGTGCGACTCTCAAGCCGAACGCGTGCGTCTCGGTTTCAGGTGTGGTTTCAGAACAGACGCGCCAAGTTCCGTCGGAACGAGCGCAGCTCCGCTATCAGCCGAGGCGTCTCCTCGGCGAAGGAGATGGAGGCCGCGCTGCCCTTGCGGCCGATCAGAGTGACGCACCCCCAGGAGAACAGCGCGGAGAGCCTGCAGACCGCGCAAATGACTCAGTACCCGTACGGCGAGTACTGGAGGTCGTCGCAGCACTACGCGTCGATGCAGACATCATCGAGCTGCCACGGGTTCATCAACGGGAACTTGGGGAACATGAACATCCCCTCGTATCACCATCAGACGGACATCCACGGAGGACTGGAGGGGTCCGCGATGAACAGTCTAAACGCGCTAAGGTTCAGGACTCATCCGTACGGCACCACGTATTCTGCAATGCACGCGAGCATGTGAGAGAGAAAGTGTTTCGTAAACCCTCGAGCCCCGATGAGCTGGCCACCCTCTTACGCATCATCGGACACCAAAGCTTTTAATTTTATTACGGAAACGCTTAATATAATTTATACGAATTAGCTGCGCGTAAGCGGATGGAGAACGGAGGACCAATCGATCGCAACTGCATGCAAATTAGAGTTTAAGCGTCGAACACAGGGTAAAGAGAGTACTGTTATTTTGTAGAACTGGTACAGAGTAATAAACGGTAGAAATCGTGAATGTATTATGTTGTCGATATACAAGAAATATATATGCAGCAAAATATGGTAGTCTAATCTACGAAACACGCAATGTATTCACGTTAATACCTTAATATGTTAGTTGTGTTAATATGTTAGTATGCCAGTATGTTTAGTATGTTTAGTATGTTTAGTATGTTTAATACGTTAATACGTTAGTACGTTGATACGGTAATGCGTTAATACGTTAGTACGTTAATATGTTGATACACTGATACGTTAGACGTTCATACGTTGATGCGACAATAGACAAAAGGAAGTATGTATATGGATACAAAAATTAAACTACGGAAGAACGGGTCGTTTATGCGTTGCGGCAGGAAACGTTACAGTCGTAAAATTGTGTCTCCTTGTACGCGTACGCTGCGTTCACATTGGCACAAAATTAGAATACCAATTTCCACGGTTAAATTGGTCACATATAAGTACATCTGTTGCAATGCTAAACAAGCTACAATCACGTAAAAAGGTTCCAAAAATTTCATCTTATATATATATATATACATATATATATATATATATTAGTCGTCCGTCCAAAAGTTCTTAAATATACAAATACATCTCTAGTACTATACAGTTACTTGTACATTTTGCACAGCATTGCTCCAGTCTACTTTCGAAGGAACTAAATAAAACGCAGGTGCTATTTTGCTGCCGCACGGACATTGACTACCTGCTATCCAACTAAAGGAACCGAGTTTTGTACTGCATTTCGGACAATTCAGTTTTCCCTCGACATTATGAGTTATGTCAGGCATCCAGGCCATAGGTTCCACGAATAATATTTTAGTACAAAACTCTATTGGCTGGTGCTCATCTTTCTTTGGTAGCTCCAAAGATTCTTGAACAGGCTTTGATTGTTTAGATGTTCTTTTTGTACTTATATGCCTCCATATTTGCTTCTCCTTCGGGATATGGGGCAAAATGTTACTGGCACTAGCTACGATTCGCCGACATTTTCTACAACGATAGACTATGGGCTCTGGACGTACCGTAGCAAGCGCTGGATCTGCTTTAACCAGATCTGTACAGTTCTGTGGTAAAATCTTTGCTTTTCGAACTTTATCCGCTGCGATCTGTAGCCTATACATTTTAAACTGTACATTAGTGTTGTCTATTCCAAAGCCCATTTCTTCGTACAGTTTCAACTGAGCCAAGAAACCAGGATTCGGTCCAATAAAATGTCTCTTTTCTTTCACGAGTTCAAAGGTATCGGAGAAACTTCTTCCATACTTTTTCATCAAATAAGCGATTACCAACGTGGCTGATCTGGAGACACCGAAATAGCAATGTACTAACATTCTGTTGCCAGACTCTAAAGCTTGATTTATAAACTCGTAAGAATCCCCGAAGTGAGTAAGAAGATCTTCGCGTGGCATGTCAGTAATTTGAAGGTACTTTACAACCAGATTTGGTAAAAGCTCTTGAATCTTCCTTGGTAAAGGACAAGAATCTACCGTAAGTATATAGCCTATTTTAGTTTCTCTTAACCATTCGATATCTGTGGCAGCTGTGAGATTTCCAAGATATAAACCAGGAATAATCTCATTGTAACTAGAAGGACCTGCATCAAAGTCTTCTCTTTGTAACTTGTGATCTGTTTCCCCCGCCATGTTGTTTATTCTGAAATAAAACATAAAGCTACGACATATATCTTTAATCTTACTTACTTTATTTTTCCGATAACAAAATAGTACAAAATATTTACAATCGACACATGGACGTTTCAATTAATTTTAGGCATTAAATACACAATCTAAACCTTAAATTAATAAACAAACTTGTCAAACAATGGACCTATAGGTAGAATATCCAAAATTTGCAACTCTATTTACAAAGCATGCTCTAAGTGCATATCAATTTTTTATTACCTCAGTTAAGAAATACTGCGAATAATGGAAGTATGTTGAATCAAAGAATTACACTATAAATGTTACTTGACAAGTAACTTTTATGAGACATATTTTTCTAAAAAATAACTTTTATGATCTTATAGTATGAAAAGCTTTTGATATCCTATGCTCATATATTTTGTACGATTCTGTTATATAACAAACATATTTTCGTTTATTCTTAGGAAACATAATACAATAAAAAACACAAATATTTTTCCGTTCACGAAACGAAACTGAAGTCGAAGTCTTTAGTTATCGACATGCAGTTACGGTGGCGCTTCGGTATTAACGCATTTTTCTGGTACTATTCTAAAATCAAAAATTGAACGCGTCACAAAAGTACTTATCATACTTTCCTCTCTTCTTATAATTGCATACGTTCATAGAAAATTGATTTATGATAACGATAATCAAGATTGAAAACTAACTTCATAATATTATAAAATAAACAACATTACACAGTTTTCAATTCTAATACAACTCATCTTAGTTAAATAAAAACAGACTGCGAAATAATAACCATTGTTTTACAATTATTACGTTTATCGTATAAACTTTACGATTATCGATCAAAAATACTTCGATAAGCATAAATACAAGTTCGAATAGTAATCGTGTCTATTTTACCCGAAGATCTTTGTAAACGACATTTTATTTCAAAGTTTCCAAAATACGTAATGCTTGTATGTAGGAAACAAATCAATCATTTTCATGAAAAATCGTTGATAACGAATATGCAATAAAATTGAAAACGAATGTCTACGACTGAACATTTAAATTCTGAAAGAGTATCGTAAAATGGTGAAATATTTCGCCAAAAGTGACAGAACGGAATTAGAAAAAATGGAGTATAGCAGCTACTAGATTTTTGGAAATCAGTAAAGAAATGTAATTCGTATTGTCAATTGATCTATGAACTTTCGAAAAGATTACGGAATACATTGTGTGACCACGTACGCCGGAAGTGACGCCGCGTAGCCCGATCTCCACATCATTCGGAAGAGTCGCAAGAATATCGCTCATACAGTCCTGCCAAGCTACTGTGCCTGCTAATCCCGTGTTTCTCTGACTTTCTCCCTCTCTCCTTCTTTATTTCTCCATCTTTGTCTGCTCTCTTTTCTGTCGGTACCACTTGCGTGCGCGCACGTGTGTATACGTGAGTGAATGGGTTATTTTTTGATTTTTGAATAAAACAAGATGCTGATCTCGCAAGAGGTGATCTCTAAAGCAGAAGAAATCGCTGATCAGGTAAATTTACAAGTTGTTGTACTTAATTCCTTTTCCGATATACACATAGAATATTATTTTGGCAAAGAAACTGGTGGTAAAAAAGCCAGCTGAAATCCTGTAGGAATACAGGTGTACTCCTGTCAACGTCATCGTGGCACAATTACCCTCCTACACTCGCATATTTTAATTTCTCACGTTCTTTCCTCTGATTGTTTACCTTTTTAAAGAATTTTTATTGTTGTCAAGCATTGCAAACTTCTCTATACTACTAATTGTATATCGCAAAATTAAAGGTTATGCATTGTCAAGAAAATATGTATCACAAACATTACTGTCCCGCCCGTTTTTGGCTAACGTTGAAGTAATAACTCAGTAGTTTTCCAATTATCCATGTGAGCTCTTTTTTATTTAAATTAATGAAATTATTATAAATTTTGAAATGCATTCAAAAGATGTAAACTTTATTAATCATTAACTTTCTCTTTCCACTTTTCATTGACTGCTAGTGGTTTTGTGATACGAATTAAATATACACTTTCACAGACCTACTTTCATTCTTTAATATAATATCAAAGAATATTCAATGAACGTATTACACACGTATCAATAACATTTTATACGTAATTTATAGTTATTTTTCATGTGTACAATATAGTTATAATTATGATATTTTTTTATATAATAGGTAATCCGAAATGGAAAACATATATTACCAACCCTTGCAAGAGTTTGCCTCATAGCTACATTCTTAGAAGATGGGTTGAGAATGTGGTTTCAATGGTCGGAACAAAGGGAATTTATGAACAGTACATGGGGGTGTGGTACTTTCTTAGCTACAATATTTGTTCTGGTCAACTTGATTGGACAGCTTGGAGGATGTGTGATGGTTATCGGAAGATGGAAAGTCAGCATAGCTTGTGGAATGTTGTTCTTCATAGTTGTCTTGCAAACATTAGCTTATAACATTCTGTGGGATGCAACATTTCTGTTCAGAAATTTAGCACTGATAGGTGCTCTTCTTCTCGTTCTTGCTGAATCGAGAGTAGAGGGAAGATCATTATTTGCTGGAGTACCAAGTCTCGGAGACAATAAGCCTAAAAATCTGCTTCAATTAGCTGGCAGAATTTTATTGGCATTTATGTTTACCACGTTAATTCGTATTGAAATATCGTTCCTTCAAATAATGCAGGATATTCTTGGAAGTATTTTGATGGTCTTAGTAACTATTGGATATAAAACTAAACTCAGCGCATTATTACTTGTATTGCTACTATCTGCTCTTAATCTTTATCACAATGCATGGTGGACCATTCCAGAATATAAAGCACTTAGAGATTTCCTTAAATACGATTTCTTTCAGGTAATAATATTTTTTTTCATTATTATTTCATTTGTTTTATATCTGTTTCGTATTCTGCTGAAGGATGTTCAACATGAATCTATTTATTTACAGACATTGTCAGTGATCGGTGGCCTTTTAATGATAGTTTCTTTAGGTCCTGGAGGTGTATCAATGGACGAACATAAGAAAGAATGGTAGATGTCATCATGTCACCTGAATACGTATCATTACTTTGTCAGAATCATTGAGTAAAAAAGTCTCCCATTCCTGTTCCTTTCTATGCTCAACTGAATTTATAATAAGTTCACCAACTCTTTTGGATAAAAGTTGTAGTATACATGATTGTGAATTGTTTAATGTGGACAAAGACAATGTTGAGGTATTGTTATGTACTTACTTTAAGATGTCATACATTAAAATACATGAAATTATGGAAAAAAACAAAACAGAAGAAATTCCAGGATAGTAAGATTTATATTTAAGACATAAACAGAAAGAAGACAACGCCAAGACTAATTTATATTATGAAGAATGGCATTGTACATATGACACTGCGTTTATTGAGGAAAACAAAATATATTTTTTCTGTGTGTTTTTAATTTTCTCTCCAGTTTTGATCATAAATCCTCAATGGATTTATATGCATGATTATAATATGTCAGTGTATTCTTCCATAAAAATACAATAACTTTAACTGTTTCGTTTAATAGAAAATAGAAAAATGAAAATATCAAGTTTTCAAGATTTTTATACGATTAAATTATTGTAAATAAATATTCCATTTCAAACTTTTTATGAATACTGTTCTCTATAATCTGCTTATCAAATAATTACTGTTAATTACCAAATTTAGATCCTTCCCGTAATAAGATTTGCTAAAATAAACTGATCTCAAAATAGTCTGTAGGCAAACTTACATGATTCACAGTAGTGAACAACTAGATTCGTTTAGTATAACATTGTGTTACATTCTGTTACATATTGTTGTAAAACAATCAAGATTGCTTTTAAATATATAATTTTTAATGAAAATGAGATTAAAAAATGGGTATAAAAGGCCCCCTGTCGATAAAGGAACAACAATTTTAACTGCAAAACCTTTTGCGTATGTTTTACGATCATCATATCGGAAAGATAGATGCGACTACTGTTTGCAAAGGTAATTATAAAATCAAATATTTATTTTTGTCATTTACTATAAATTTGCTGCACTTATTATTTCTAATGGTAACGTAATGTTATCGAACAGACCTTTTGATAAATTTATTTGTGCTTATAAATATATTAAAAATGAAGTTTTCCTTTTTATATAGTTGAACTACAGCAAATCGACGATATAAAAATTCTTAGTAATCGTTATTCAAAACATAGAGGTTATCTTTTAATATCGGCACGTCGCACACTTTCGTTATTGTTGTTATCAAAATGTTTACAGACCGCATCAATTAATGCATATTAAATATTATAAACATTATCTGGTAAATGTTTATATTGTATTCAATTGATGCAATTACACGAACATGTACTCTAATTGTCTACTTTTAAAGCTCTAATTTGCAAGATCTGAATTTTTCCAAGAACAATAAAATGAACCACAAGAAACGTGCCTAAACCTAGTGTTAATAAAAATTAATTGCGTGTGTGCATTTAAATTTTAATAAATAAAACCGTTAACAAGAGAAATATAAACTATTAAGTTTGCATACAATCACAACGACTGTGCTCGAACATTTCAACTGAATTTTCCTTTCCTTACTTTTCTCTTGACAATATCATGTAGTTTTTTGGCAAATTTATACTTTTTTCTTTAATCTATTATCCGTTAAAGATGAATGAGTGTAAAAATGGAATAAAAAGAGGAACTACTATTTTAACCGCTAAACCGTTTGCTTACGTTCTTAATTCAAAACATAAAACTAGTCGATGCGATTATTGTCTAAAAAGGTACATATACATTTAACGCCGAATGACATAATAATATTTGGTTCTTTGTTTACTGTTTCTATACGAAATACATATCTTACAAGAGCATGTATTTTGATCTTTGTATTTTAGTGGAAAAGTTTCAAAATGTTCTGCTTGTCATTGTGTTTATTATTGCAATCGTTTCTGTCAACAAGATGCATGGTCCATACATAAAACAGAATGTGCAAAACTGAAAAAGGTTTCACCAAAGGTTGTGCCAGATATGGCAAGACTTATGACTCGTATAATCATAAAATTGAATCAAGGTAAAAGCGAGGAAATGGGATATTACAGTGACACAAGTTTTAGAAAATTTAAGGATTTAATGTCACGTAAGTATGCAGTGATAGTAATTAAGAAAATTAAAAATATTTCCTTCTATTTGCTTTATTAATGTCAGCTTCATTGTTTCATTAGATTACAGTGATATAAAGAAAGATGAAAAAAGAATAGAACACTTCATTTGTCTATGCAAAATTCTGAATGAATTATTTGAAGATACACCTATGCCAAGTAATGTGGAGTTAATGGCTATTTATGGCAGAATTTGTATTAATTCATTTAATATATTCGATCTGGACATGAATAGTATTGGCATTGGCATTTATTTAGGACCTTCTATTATTGACCATAGTTGTGTACCAAATGCTGTAGCTACTTTTGAAGGACCTAATATAATTATTAGAACAATAGAATACCTTCCTTGTTTGGATTGGTCTCAAGTAAGTATCTCCTTTCTCTATGATATTTAACTAAACTTTGATCAAAGTTTTCAATGTGATTATATACATGTAGATAAGAATATCATATATTGATGTTCTTAAAACAACAAAGGATAGACGTGCAGAACTACAAAGTTCATATTATTTTTGGTGTAACTGCAAAAGATGTGAACAACCAGAACTAACAACTACAGCTGCAATGTGTCCAAACAAGTCTTGCATGTATCCTTGCTCTAGTGATACAGACTCATGTGAAAAGTGTAAGACACGATTTCCAGATAAATTTAAAGAAACATTTGACGAGATATCTGATTTCACTGCTTATCATTTACAAAGTATGAAGGATATGGCTTGTATCCTTTCTAAAATTAATGAATGATCGCATCAATAATTATATCCAATCACAAAGTATACTTTTCTTATTAGACAATTCAGATCTGGATGTAAGCAAGGTGTGCCTTGAAAAGCAAGAGGGTGTTTTACACCCACTTAACATACAGCATGTACAAACTTTGCAAAGTGCTTTTGACTCTGCTATAAGTTTACAGCACTGGGAGGAAGTAGAATCTTATGCGAAAAGACTTATTAATGGCTATTTGTAAGATAAATATATTTTTAAATTGACTAGATTCCAAACAACTAATATCACATTTTCATTTTAGAACATACTATGGTGAAGTTCATCCATTAACTGGAATATTGTATCTTATGATGGGAAAGATTCAGTTATACTTAGAGAAACCAAAACAAGCTCTGGAAGCTTTAAAAAGAGCTAAGTCCATATTACTAATAACACACGGAGAAAAACATACTTTGGTTCGAGAAAATTTAAAGCCCCTACTTCATCAAGCCATTATGGAAGAATCAAATGTTAAAATATAAGTTGATAAATAATAATTGTGATAATAAATAATTTTATTAATTAAAAATATACATAACTATTTAACTCCTAATATTTGTATGTTATTTATTGATAGAGTATCTTAATTAGAACTAGAAACAATAAAATCCAACTAAAATTTGGAATGGCGAAATTAAACTGAATTCAAAATAATGGAATTGAACCGAAATGAAATTTCGGACGAAATTTTTTAACATATCTTTACGCATCACATATAAATATTTGTTACTACCCGATCATGTCCAACATCCATAACAAATAGGAATGAAGTATACAAAATACTCACTTCCTACTAATAAACCTAAATTCGTAAAATTTTTGTATCATCGGAAACTACATTAAAATGATACAGGGATTTGTAACATTTTATACGTATTGCTACTTTGAAATCTTTTCAACTATATTTACAATTAGCTATTACACAATCAAATATTACTTACAAATAGGACAATGAACAATCATTAAGGAATAATCTTGCTCTGTGTAAATTCTACAGTTAGTCTAATATCATTAAATAAATATCTCTAGTAACGATTTGCGAGATTTTTTAAATATTTTATATGCCATTGAATATTACGGTATAAAAGAGAACTTGCAGTTTGCATCTTCAGATGGTCGGAATGGAATGGGCAATGTGGGGATGAATAACTATTTTGACCGTCCGTGCACTGACAACTGGTAGAGTCAGGTTGAGTACCAACATTACTAAAAGAAATAAGTGTAGCTGCCAAGTGACAGCTGGTTTGGTTTTGTTGTATCGGTTATTTGTTTGGAATAAATTTTTATTTTCTACGGATAATTTAGGATAACATGTGGTAAGCCGTGTGATATTTTTTTACTATTTTTCAAATTTAGTATAAAGGTGATAACAGTAACAGATTTGTTTTTTTCATAACAATGTCTAAGTGTATTCAGGCATAGAACTATGATGTTTAATAATAATTAATGCAAATTTGTTTTGCAACAAAATATTTACATACGTTTCTCGAGTGCAGTATTAATTGTTTTCTGTTCTATTATTATCCAAATGAATTAGCAGTCTTATGTATCGCACAGATCTAATATTTGTTATGCTTACATTGAAGTTTAAAAAAATATGAAAATTGTTCTACTACCAATAATAATCGTAATTGATTAGCTATAACATTAATTTTAACTAAACAATGTAAACATATTATCAATGTATTTATTCTGCAACTTATAGAACTATAAAACAGTCTAATGTTCATATATTCTTTCATTTTAGATATTTGTCATAACATTGTTAAGGAAAAGATATTTTCCTACATTATTTTTGGCACAATTAAGAAGAAATACACAATGTTGTCTGCATTTAAAAGATTAGCTGGAAAATCTGATGGAGTTGGCAATGTGTCTCCTAGACCAGCTCATCAGTCTATGCCAACTACGTTACAGAGAAAATTTGCCAAAGGTGTACAATATAATAGTACGTATGCATTAGTAATTTATAATAAAAGTATCTAATAATATATTCCAAATGAAACAGCATTTGTTTTCAGTGAAAATTATTATAAAGGGTGATAGAAATGTGGGAAAAACTTGTTTATTTCATAGACTTCAGGGCCAAAAATTTATAGAAGAATACATACCAACGGAAGAAATACAAGTGACCAGCATTCAATGGAATTATAAAGCTACTGATGATATTGTTAAAGTGGAAGTGTGGGATGTTGTAGATAAGGGTCGACGAAGGAAAAAATTTGAGGGTCTGAAAATGGATAATTCACAATCTGAAAATATAATTGAAGAACCTGCATTGGATGCAGAATTTCTTGATGTGTATAAAGGGACCAATGGTGTTATCATTATGATGGATATTACAAAATCTTGGACATTTGATTACGTACAAAGAGAACTTCCAAAAATACCTAGCCATATTCCAGTCATTGTTTTAGGAAATCATTGTGACATGTCTCATCATAGAACAGTTACATCGGATCATGTGATATACTTTATTGACTCCTTACATGAAAGATCAGCACAAGTAAATTTACTGTTATTTGTCATAACTACCGTAGTACTAGAAAGGTTCATTATTTTTTGTATTTTCCCTTTTTAGGTAAGGTACACAGAATCATCTATGAGAAATGGCTTTGGATTAAAACTTTTACATAAATTCTTCAATCTTCCATTCCTTCAGTTACAACGAGAGACATTATTAAAACAACTTGATACCAATGAAGAGGAAACACGTTTGACAGTACAAGAACTTGATCTCTTTCAGGACAGTGACGACGCCGATTATAATAAATTTCTGGATAATCTTGTTAACAGAAGGAGAGCTATTGCTGACTCTGTTTCTGCCAGTATTCTAGTCTCTAATGTTACAACTTCACTAAGTAATCATCATATATCGTCTTCTAATGGAAACATAAATGCAAGTACGGAAGTTAGGAGGTCCATTTCAATGCCTGGCCCTATAGGAGGTGGAACACCCATACCAGTGAAAAATATAGATCTGAGATCGTCGCCAAAGAAAGAAAATTCAAGTACTTTAGAGAATCAAATAGCCTCTACTAAAACCATACAGAATGCACCGGCGTTGTCTGCCACTCAAAATATTTCAAACACTGACTCTAAAGTGTCCGAATTTTTAAATAGTAACTCCGATAGAAGAGATTCCATTAGCAAACCACAATCACTTATGTCCAAGATATTTGGTAACAAAAAGGAAGACGAAGTGGACAAAGTAATACATATTAATAACATGAATACAAGTGTACCGTTAACGAGCGTTGAAGATTTCGTACCGGATGATGGTCTTCTGGACCGATCATTCTTAGAAGAGGGTAGTCAAATTTCACCACAGAAAGTACAACATCAAGAGTTAGATTCTGAAAGGTACGTTCTGTTATATAACAATGAAATTACACGGAACATTAATTATTTTTGTTCTTTAATTAATAGTGATACCGAAACCGCAAATCCATTGGTTGCCGGCTACGAGGATGACTTGTCATCCACCGAAGAAACAACACCACCAATTCAACCGAAATTAGCCGAGAACCCATTATCCAAACAAAAACATAGGCGTGAAATAAATACAGAAGTAAATTCAGAAAAACTTCGACAAATTACTAAACGTGACTCCGTTTCATCAATAGATCAAGAATTGCAAATATCAAATATTTGTGATATAAATGAACAACAAGAGATTAGTTCCGACGAATTTGACATTTGGCTTCAACGTGATTCTAAATGGAGACAAAGTCCGGAAGGTGGTGAAGATGTGAGCAGTAATAGTACAAGAAAAGACAGATTAGGATTGAGCGATAAAAGCTTGGATGTCAGCGTGACAAGTTCCAATGTGCATCTGGAGCTACTCGATAACGCTAGTGTACAACATATGAGTTCTAATGGCAGCAGTCCTGTGCTAAAAGAAAAGAAAAAGCATAAAGAAAAGGTATGAGCCAAATATAATAAGTATTTTTTTAGGAATGTATTGTTCTATAAAAATATTCTATTAAAATTTGATTTATTCCAGACGGAAGATAAGGAGAAAAAGAAGAAAAAGAAATCTAAAGATAAGGAAAAGGAGAAAGATAGAACAGACAAGACGGAAAGGAAGAAGAAGCGTTCTTCGCACCGATCCAGAGAAGAAAGTAGAGAACAGGAGAGTCGAAAAATTTCCGAATGGTTCTGGCCCCCGAATTGATATTGATATTGCCTATGAAACTATATAGCGTTCTGCTTAAATAATGTTACATTTAATCGTATTTCTAATCCATAACAGTGTCTTCTGGTAAGGCACACATTTCCTATACCAATAAATCTTTAAAAATAAAACTGAGATTAATGCTTGCCGTTAATTTTAAAGCAAGCTGAGTATGATATGAATGTTTTGTTATAATTCTTTGTATAATAAGGCAACGTTATGACTTGTAACACAAGAAGATTTTTATTAAACCAAAAGTAATATTATATTTTTAAGTTTAAATTTTGAATAATTGTTGATAATATATTTGTCTAATTAGCATTCCATTAGCATCCCATGTAAAAATGTGTACGATATATTCATTCGAATTTAAATGTATTTTATCAAACTACTTATTTTGTTACTTGAAATCTGCCCTAGTACAATATTCCTCAAAACAATGTTCGACAATTATTTTCATTCCATCCGTATACTAATGTTATTTGCTACCTGTAATTTCAAAATGTTTATCTTTATTTTTATACCTCTTATAACGGTTAAATAATAATATAAGTTCATTATTTTTATCTTAATAATTATGACATCATCGTTAAAGCTATATATTGATATGTACATATATATATATATATATATATATATATATATGATTAAATGACAAATCCTCATACAACTTGACACTTGATTTTTTATTTATAATATTATTGACCATGTCCACCGTGCAAATTTCAAATCTCCCACTGAAATTAACACGCCCTCTTTAGAATTGCAAAGGTATGTTATAATAATAGTCGAAAACGTGTTCATAACGTGCCCGAATTTTGTTGAAGACTGTCTACGGTGTCATGTTGAGATCGTTCCGACATTTGCGCTTGCCGCACGCAGAGTTATATTGTACGTAATTAAAGAAAGTCGAGTATGAATCAGTGAACAAAACTTACAAGAAGATGTCATTGTGTTTGCGCAAAGTTTCGAATAAATTTATACCTTTTGTTAATTTACGAAAACAAATAACGAAGATCGACCGTCATTTACTAAAACATGTTAAGTCGTCTGCGTTTTTGGAAGAGGTAATTGATAACATGTTTCAAGACAGTCATAAATAATTGCAATTTGAAACTTGACCTTTATCGTGTATAATCAGTGTTTCTTTATTATGAATTATTATTGTTCTGTTTCGTGTATAGAATCGCCGGAATAAATTAACCTTAAAATACTTATATAATAGTCTGTATTGTAATAATGATATATATTGATACTTTATTATTAGCATGCGGATTTAATTAAAAATTACGATAGTTTTTATTCTTATAGCCCTTTTAATGTAGTATGTAATCATATTTATAGTAGGAAACACTATAAAATTTGAACAAACAAACATTAAAAATACTTTTCTTTTTCATGGACTTTCAGTTTTTAAACTCATCAGTGGCAACATGTGTGGTAATGAATTATGGAGATAAATATCTAAATTCGAAGACTTCTTTGATGGGCCAATATTCATTAATTAATTACTTTGATATTTGTACTAACTGGCCGGATGAACTAAATGAAAAATGTAATTGGAATCAACAACGATCGATATGGATGCAACGTCAAAGACAAACAGACACTCAGTCAATGAACATAAATAATATTACTTCTGAAAATAAGATTGTATTAAGCAATGATGATCAACAATTAAAACTACATGTAGATCATAATGGGCTTTATGCAAATAATAAGTCATGTTTACCTCATAGTGAGGTGCTATCAATTAATAGGTACCTAATTAATTCACCTAATTCTATAAAGAAAAGTATTCTTCATACAGATGGATCTCCTAATGTGCAAAATATGAGTAAAGAGCAGCCATCAGAGAATCGGATACCATCTGAAGCACAGTTGCAACATATATTTGACTGCCTTAGTAGAGATGTATGTATTTGCACTGTATATAAGTTGATTTATCTTGCATAAAGCTTTTTCTTTTTCTAGTTACCACAGCTATTTGTTAAGATAATGGACTATACAATATATACAACTGATGTGGTATTTATAAACAATATTAGAGGAACAGAAGGCGTGTAAGTAAACAATAGTAGCTATACAATTTGAAATATTCCTGATCCAAAATATATTGTATAAATGAATAATACAGGTTCTTGGTATTTTATTTTTAGAGGAATTAATCATTATGTGATGCAAATAGCATTGTTAAGAATAATAGCTCGTATAAAATTCGTTTATGTTAAGTTAAATATTTTAAAAATAACTATGCACCCGGAAGACAGTAGTATTAAAGTCCGTTGGCGTATAATTGGTATTCCTGATTCATACATATTTCTATTTTGGAAATATCGATCCACGAAAGATAATGATGATGATAAACACGTGTAAGTAAATTTTATCAGTTTCTTGTTTGATAAACGAATTTCTTATATCAATTAAACTATGAAATCTTGTCAATAGGTGGTACGACGGTTTTTCTACATTTTACGTCAATAATGACGGTAAAGTATTTAAACACGTTGTTGATAAGATGATGCCTGATCAGAGTAAATATGAAAAAACTCCTATAGCAGCAAAATTAGCCTTATTTGTACCATTATTAGATTTGGATACTTATGCAAGTAATCTTTGTTCAGAAATAAAATAAATATAAAGAAAATGCAAATCGTACCATGTGTCACAGCACATAATTTAATTTTAACATATTTTTTTAATTCTGTTTGTAAAACTCCCCACGTAGAAGAACACATAAACGTTTCGTGTAATGACAATAAACGAATAAATTATGTACTAAAGTGAAAGTATACTGCATTGTGTTTATGTTACTAGAGCTATGTGAAAACTTAAATTTTATGTTTGTAATTCTAGTCGCTTGTAATACATTAGCAAGATCTGAGAAAAGTAAAAATATGAATATAGGTAGAGTATCATGTATTGAAGCATCAATGTTTTATAAATTGTAATTTAATTAAATTATTTAATATTGTCAAAAATGAAGAGTATCTTTACCATTCCAATGTTCCTTTCAAAAATATGCACACAGTTACTTTGTAAAAAATACTGTAAAACTTTTATTTTAATATGACAAAGTTGTTTATCTCACTTAGGTGCATACAAGACCTAAATAATCATCCATCAATGTCCCAATAGCAAACTGTAATCAAAATGTACAGTATTAATATTTTATATCATATTACATCAAGAAGAAAATTTGTGTATCTTAAATACTAACAATACCAGTGGCATCAACTCTTGTACCAACAATTTTCAATCTGATTTCATCATCTGGTTGAATAATAACATCCTAAAATTTGTATGAACAATTTTATCTGTAAACTTAGTTATGCAAAGTATTACTATTATGATGAAATTTACCTCTTCCTTGGACTTATAACATGGAGGATTTACATTTGGACAAAATTGCATATCTGCTGGTATTGACTGCAAATAAGATTAATCATTTATAAAACGATTTAACACATTTATAAGTGATATAAGAATAATTTACATGATGAGATATGAAGCATGATAGAGGACCTATCTCAGCGAACATTCCAACCTAATAAAAACATAAAAAAAGTTAAACGATATTATATCTTTATACATATTGAATTATTTTATTACCTTATTGACTTGAGTCACAATAGCATCCAATACTTCTCCTTTAAATGGTCTAAAAACAATAGCTTTATATTTAACTGGATATACTACAAATCCTTGTCCAGGTTGTATGATTCCTGCACCTATATTATCTATTGTTGTTACAGCAACTACAAAACCATATCTAAAATATCGTTAATTATTTAAACAGTTACTTCAGTTGACATAACTATCTTGAAATTAAATATAAACTTACTTTCCTGTGCAAGTACCCTCTACTTCTGTGTATAGTTTTTGCTTCACAGTATCTAACAATTGAGGACCAAAATACCTAGGATGTAATAAAATTTCATGTTCCAGCGATATCTGTGAAGATTAAGAAGTTTAAATTTATTATAATATCAAAACTATACGATTCCACACTATTCGTTAATTGTTCTTCAATTACAGTACGCAAAGATAGCAATAATTAAACTTTACTCCTACGTGTTCCAATTTAATTATAAATTTTTATATATGAATATTACTTACATGGTAAAACATGATGTTCTTTTTAACAGTATTATCTATATTATTAAATGGTACTAATATAGATATTCACGAATCTGAAGCATACCAACTAGTCTGTAATCAATCTAACTTTTTAGGTTATATTTCGAGAATGTGTAATTTTCATTTCTTGTGGATAGTTTTTATTGATATCTGTTTATGCCAGTATATTAATGATATATTAATGTCGAATGCATACTTTGTTGTATTTAAATTATTTGTTTGTTAAAGGTAATAAGTCGATTATAAAAGTCAATAATGGTATTGACCGCGAAACGTGCACCATATTTAAACATGGTTCACGGCATTCACGCACAATTTAATAATTAAGTGAACTTATCGTAGAAAACTGTCTATGTTTTTAGGAAAGTATCTATCGTGAGACGGATGGCAAATAAATATTTTATTATCTATTTGGAGTATGTAACAATTCATTTTAAAATAAACAACAGATTAACATTCAATGCAGAAAAATATATTTATTCTAATTTACTTAATACGCTATAACGGCTTTTAACAGAATTTTCTCCGTGATGCGTGGAGTTACACTGTATTTATAAATTTGTATACTAATTTTATTTTAGTTATTTTTATGTTAATTTCGTTCTATGTAGAAGTCTCATCGTTAGCATTGTCAACATCTAGACAATCTAATTTCTCTTTAATTTCTAAGGCCAACTTGTATCCAAGTTCCGGTCGACGATCCTTTCCCTCAACCATTGCTTTTACCTGATTAGAATTCACTATTACGCCATTATTAGCTATGACATTAGATTTCGTTTTTTCAATATCAACAAGATCTACGCCTCGACTACAATCATCAATAAGGATAGTACGATAGCCGCATTTAAGTGCATCAACTGCAGTAGCTCCAACGCAAACATCATAAGCTAAACCACAAATGTATATATCAGTTACTCCTATTTCTTGTAGTTGCGAGGATAAACTAGTGTCCTGCATTTTTTTATTATCCCAAAAAACAGAGTACGAATCAACTTCTGGATTAGTTCCTTTGTAAATTTTAATTGCGTTATCGATGACCTTTAGATCCTTGTGAAGCTCTGCACCCCAAGAATCCTGAATACAGTGACGTGGCCAAAGACGTTGTTTTAATAACGGTGGTCCTCTGAATGTAATTGTATCATAAACTTGCGCTGCTTCTTTTGAAATTTCGCTGCTAGGATCAATTTCTCTGTTGAAAGTTAGGGCGTTTAATTAATAAGTATGTAACACTTATCTAATAAATAGGTGGATAAAGATACATTAATTACCTAAGATGTAAATTATCGATAAAAGACACATGGTCTACAGGATGCCAATCAAGAGAATAGAACACTGCATCAAATTGTACAGTTTCTAACAGTCGATTAATTGGTTCAATCACTTCCAAACCATCGTGTTCCGCGGCGCATTGCTTGATGTCTAAAGATCCTGTTATAAAATCGTTTTGCACATCCACAATCAGGAAAGCACTCTTTGGACGGCAGCATACTTTAATCCAACGATTCCAGCACGTCTACACGAAAAGAGCGTATAACGGAATTACATTAATAGAAATAGCAACGATTATGTGTTCACAAATTTACCTCAAATTCTTCTCTGTCGATCTTCCCATCTCCTTTCCAATCGAATATGGAATATATTTCATGCAACTGATTTTTTTCTAGAGTGTAAACCTTTCCGCGATCGTTACGAAACAGTGCACGACAAATAAGTTCAAATTCTGTAGTAGATAAATATCCATCTTCATCTTTATCAAAAGCGGTAAAACACGCATCCATATTTCTTCACTGTGGCTACTAGTTTCCAAGTCATTTGTTTAATCAATACTTATAGGAGAAGTGTGTAGCCACCTTATATACTATTTTTCACCGCTTAAGCTGCTGAGAAAATACTGCAATCTATTCCTATACAATGTACTTTAGTCTCACTGCACTGCAGCATTAATATTTTTATATTTGCACCTATCAAATGCAATGTAGGTAAATCAATGTATACAACTAGCAGTAAAGCATTCAATCGTTTCCCTTGCTACAAGAGAGTTCTAGTTATGGAAATTTCAAATAAAAAATCTATAAGTTCCTTAAAATTGTTTTATTATTAAATATCTTAAATTCGAAAGTAACACTTATAATTATCCTGTAACTTTACTTTTTTTTCTGTCTGTGTCGTATTAGTGCAGTGTTATATATAGATGTAATATGAAGTCACTGTGCAAGCCTTTGATGAGTTAATAACGATACATCAATCATTGCTTCAGGTACTAACAAGTCATTTACCTTATACTTCATTGATTCTTCATAAGCATACGTAACAGATGTATCGGTCAAATGCATGTTACATTGTGCTAAAATCAAGATGCAATTACGTAGTCTTGCACAAACTTCACGATTCGTTTGTGGAATCCTAGATAAATCTTGAGTAAAGCCACCCTCTGATCTATCGGTATCCTGTTTACTGGCACCAATCCATATGTAACCATTGTTTCCTAATATCAAGCTTGCACCACTTTCCAAATTATGAAAATGTGTTTTCTTTCGTTTTATAAGAGCCGGTGAAACTTTTAACATTATTCCTTGAGATAATTTACCATATTTTAAAACTCTAGTATGTAACGAAAGTGAACCATCTACAAAAGTACTTTGCACTTCTGCACAAATTAGATCACCCTCCTGGAGATACCTTCTCATAGTTTGTTCATCTTCCGCAGATCTTCTTCTCTACAATGTTAAACAATAGAAATTTATAATTAATACTAACACAACTTAGACGCATAGTCATAGAAGTATACATAGTTCTGCTTCAATAGCGTACCAATTCTCCTCCAGGTAAATTAACACTGGACAATAGAAGTACAGAATCAAGTTTCGAATTTGTATCAACTTTCCAACGCTTTTGTTGCACCTCAGTTATGCGACCAACAACAACGTCTCCTATTTCGCCTTGATAACGTGCTTTCAGTGGTCTTATTGAAATGAGCTTGTTTACTTTTTCTAATACACCGGCTACAGACGCGCGTAACGTGTTTTCGTCGTCGACGTATGTTCCGTGACCTCTAATAAACATTTATATGAATTAAGAATTCTCCTCTACATTCCCAGATAAGGGAAGCATTTTATTTTACCTTAAAAAATCAGGTTGGCTAGATATTTCTTCACCCGGCGTGTATATTCGCGGTTGAATGTCTTCGCCTTTGATTAAATTAAAATCAACTCTGTTCACAGCCAAACGTACATTGATGGTAGGATATTCTTCCATTGCAAGTAAATATCAGTTCCAACATATATTTTATAACAACTTGTACATGTAGTATTCGTTATATTTAGTTTAGGTTATGTTACACAAACACAAGATGTTTACTTTGAGGTTATATATAAAAATCACATTCTAACCTTATCAATGTTAAATCATAAAATATAGCGTCTTAAGATTTACTACAATAAAATTAATTTGGGATCGCATGCTTACAAGAAGTATCCTACAGGGGGGGCTATTTCGTTTCGTTCTCATTGATTCACGCTCATCTCTGTCTTTCATTTTCGATGGCTTATCGTATAGCACCTTGTTACGACCGGGATTGAAATTAAATCCCAAAAATTCGCCAAAGTGCCAAATTACGAGAAGAACGTTAGATGCATGTCTTTGAAATTTATCATGAATTCCAAATTAGCTAAATAATATTCCTCGCTCCTATATATTTAATAAACAAAAGGTAACGATTTGAATTTAAATAGTTTATAAGAATTTTCGACGATTTTCTCAGTGCGTTTCTACGTACAATGTTTGTGGGACATGGTATGCGTAAACAATGAAGGTTTTTATTTATTTCTTAGCACATCACAATGGAAGATTTCATTCCAACGCGAGGATCGCAAATGAAGAAACATGTTTCAGAAGAATTTGTATTAGTTAATTACGAATCTCGAAAAAGAGCGAAGAAAAATGATGATAGCGATAAAGATAAGGACGCATTGCCCGACGAAACCGATGAAACTACCACAATGACTAAAGAAACTAAAGATATGGATCAGAAAAAGAAGCAGGAGCTAGAGATGAAACGTATTAGATACGAGGTTATGAAGTTTGGTATGTCTGGTTTTCAAAAAGCAGAGGCCAATAAAGCAAAAGTTCAGCTTGCTATAAGTTTAGGAGCGAAACCTCCCAAGAATAGGAGAATGAATTATAAACACTTAAAAGAGCGAAGAGAAAGAGAAAGGGAAATGCAAAAGAAAGCAGAACATACGTCAGGTCTAGAAATGAGCATGATCAAACATAAGAGTAAAAAGAAAATTTCTAAAGTTAAAAAGAGTAACGATATATTAGAGGTTTACGGAAAAGTGACCAAAAAACCAGAGGGTAAAAAGAAGAGATGAAATCACAACTGTAAATGTTTAAAACATCTTTGGTTGCTTTCATATATTGTATGTTATATACGAAGAATAAGGAGTAATAAAATAATATTTTTCTTTATATGTTTATGAATCATTTGGGCCAGCCTTGAGCTTTAATAACAGGATACACGTTTTTGCATATGCATATCTAAAATATATATTCATATGTGGTTCAGGATGCCGCAATGGAATGATTTGGCATATAGAGAACCTTTTCTCGTATTCCCTCAAAGTCAGTCAAAGGCTGCAGCCGTTGGTGCCACCTCGAGTAACATCTGAAGAAAGACATTCACTCCTTCTACAAGTAAAAACAGGTGTATTGCTTAGACATCGGGTAACAGTTTCTTCGAGTAATTTGCTAATATTCTGTTTTCATTGAATGCACGCTTACCCATAAATTTGGGCACATATCCATATTTAACAAATGGGAGGTAGACAAGCATGCCCGCTAATATGAACCCTGCCGCGTACAAGTACTCGATTTGAGGCTTATCAATGATTGGCGCTACAATCAGGTACGCAGAGATTCCAAGTACGAGCACAGGTATTATCAGCGGACACTTGTATGGTCGTGGATGATTTGGTCTGGTCCTTCGCATCACCAATAGAGCGAGCATCGCTCCGCCATAAAAGATCCAAGCGGTAAACGAAAAGAAGTCTATCAAGGAATCTATGTTTCCGGACAATACCATTGATCCTGAGCGATACAAATGCATTTTATATTTCGTTTCTTTTCATTTCCGAGTAACGGTCGACGATGCACGCGTGTACTAAATATATATATTTATATGTATATATATATATATATATATTTTGAATGTGTAACGGTACCTGCAACAAGGGAGTGGAAGATGAGTCCTGGCGCGGGGGTAAAGCGTCGCACGTGCACATAACTGAGACAGTCGAGCAAATGACCCTCGCGGGACGCGGCGAAGCATAATCTACCTGCTGCAAAGAGAGTACCATTTGCGGAACCGAACGTGCTGATCGCAACCGAGAGCGGCATGAGCCATGCCATGACGCCAAGAATCCGATTGCCAAAAGTCTGCAAAACGTTATGCGAGGATGACTATTCTGATCGAATAGATTTCATTAATTTTTTTTTTCTTCTCTTTTCTTTTCCTTTTAAGAAATCCAATTGACTTTAGTTTAAAACGAGACTAGCAGGATTAAGGAATGTGACTAGCATTTGTTCTAATTCTTGGCTTCTAATCGAAATTACAGGTCTGTCTGTTCGTCTTACCACTGCGACGGCTTCGCTTTCGATCATTTCCGACGGCGACATAACGGCTAGATAAGAGACGTTTATCAGCGCGTAACAGAGCGTGACCAGAGGTATACCGATCATAATTGAACGCGGTAGATTCTTGGATGGATCTTTGATTTCCTCGGTGACATAGTTGAGATTGTTCCATCCGTCGTACGCCCACAGGCCGGTGTAAAAGGCGGTGGCCAATCTGCCGATGTTCACGGTATTGCCGTCCATCGTGTCGAACGCGCCTTTCAGGTGCTGCGTATTACCCTGTATCAACTTGTAAGAACCGCCGGCGATTACAACAAGTATAGCGATCAATTTGGCCGCGGTGAACGCGTTCTGCACACCTGTGGCCAGATTAACGCTGTAACAATTCACCAGCAGTATAAGTATTATTGCCAGGAGCGCGACAATCTTGACGACTTCCTCGGGTGGATCGCAATCGGCCGCGAACGCCTCGACGGCGTACTGCGCGAACGACAGGCATATTATGGCCATCTGAGAAGGCTTCAGGACCAGCGTGGAAACCCACGAGAAGAGGAAAGCTGGCGGCGCACCAAACGCGTCCATGAAGTAGGCATATTCGGCGCCGCTGCTCGTGTTCATCGTACCCAGCTCGGCGTATGCCAACGCGCCGCACAGACTCAACATTCCGCAGGCCGTCCATACGAGGAAGCTGATTCCGATACTGCCGGTTCGAACTAAAAGCCCTGACGGCGAAACGAATATCCCGGAACCTGTTCACACAAACAGACGCGTGTACGTTCCATCATAATCATCATCATCATGATCCGAGTCTCTTCGAGCTGTTCACGGTGTACAGTGCGGATCGGTCATTACCTATCATGGTGCCAACGATTAGAGCCACCCCACTGACGAGTCCCACCCGTCTCTTGAGGTGAACAGAGTTGTTCTCCTCTGGGTCCGTCCCCTCCAGCCCTCCACCCCCTCCACCCCCGTCTTCATCATCTCCCAGGTCCCCAGACTTAGCTTCTTTCTGTTTCCGTTCGTGTAGTTGTTGTTGATGCTGAAAAGGCGCCGTGACAACGGTGTTCCAGCCGTTGCTGTTGGCGTTGCCGTTGCCGCCCCCGTTGCCGTTCCCGTTCCCGTTGCCGGCGCCGTTGCCGTTGCTTCTGGCTCGAGATACCAGCGTCCCCTCGGAGATCCCGTTCCAGCCGCCACTGCCTTGTATCTGTTGCTGGGGCTGATTGCCGTTGCTCGTCTGTGGATCATGTCCCACGGTAGCTAGAACAAATCGTATCGGACGGGATCAACGACAACCGGAAATCACTGTCTCCCGAATCTCGGACCGTTGTCGTCCGAAGAAGAAGACCATAAGGTTACCTTCGTGCATAATTCATCAAACTCTACCCCGGACGACTAAGAACAACTCCGCTAGATGATCGATTCGCTCATTAATGACTACCCCTGTACAATGTCTTTTCTATTCTGCAGATCCTCGAAACGAACGCGCGGGAACGCGAGTTAATTCGATGAATTTCCACTGGTGCCGTTATCCGCGACGTCTCGAGAAGGAAGGAGCAGCCCAATGAACAACAACCGAATAATTGTCGCCGGCAGTTAATTCGAAAACCATTTGCGACTCGAAATACCGCGACCGTCCCGTTCCGTCGCGATGACGCTCCGCTCACCCCTCGTGACTCGACGAAAGGCGTGTCGCATAGTTCGAGGGAACTCGGGGGCCATCTAAAATGCTGCAAATCGTTGAATTTGTATTTACGCCGGCACGTGACGAACATTATTATATTATTATCTTTGAGACGCTCCTGTTACCGTAATAGTTCGCATGGCCGGCTGCCAGAAGATTCCTCGTGACCGGGACAGTTTATTACTTCTTTACGTGCTACACACGGCGTATCGGCTCGACCGCGAGGCAGCCTCTCCGCTCGCGATAATTGCGCTTTCCGGTTGCACGCAGTTTGTTTCTGCGTCTTTTTTACGATGACGGCACACGCTTGCACGAAGCGGCGCCCATTCGATAGCCAGTTTTATCGTCGTTTTAATCGTTCGTCGCGTGCCAAACGAAAGTACAAGCGAAACTGTTGCCGAGCATCGATGACTAAAAGGCGAGACAAGGGAAGACGACCGATGTTTCGGAAACGATTAAGAAGCGAAAGAAACCTTAGGAGATCGCGCACGCGTTTGGCAGGCGACACCTAACGCGTCGTATTTACTCGAATTAAAGTCCTGCGAGTCCCCGCGCCGCGTAAGGCGTGGTGTCTCTTCTTCAAGGTGACCTTCCGATAGAGGACTATCGATTCCACCTATTTCGATATGGTTTACCGCCGTGTGACATTTACGAAAATATTGTCTACCTCGAGGTATCCCTCGTACGCAGTGAAAAAAGAGGAAAGAACCCGCGGGAGATCGATCGTTCGAATTTTCAACGTTGCTCGGATACCGGGAACGTGATTCGGTCTTGTTTAAAAGCAATCGCGACCGATATTTCGTTCTATCGTCGAGCAATCTAGATGCCAGGGGCGTAAGGGGGAAGGCGAGTCTAATGGTTTTAAACGATTCAAGTAACAAAGATGTCGGCCGGCGCATAGAAAGTGATTGCCACCAACTCCGCTCGTTCTCGCTCGCGATGACGAGCGCGAATTAAGTTGCAAAATTCCTTGAAGCGGTAATGCGATATGCTAACACGGACGTTCGCAGTCCAGCGGACGGGATCCATGAAGGATAGTTGTATTGTCAGCACTCGAGTTTTATATTCGATTATCTGACCAAGGACAGGCAATATCTTTCCTTCGAAAAGAATGTCAATCTGTTGCGCGCGAACACACCGATAAAGATCGACGCTTCGAGCAGACCGGTGTCCACTCGAATTCATCGTCGACGGTTTCAAGAGGAACGAGAGGAACTTCGATCTTCTCGTCGCTTCCATCAATTAGAACCGCGAAACGTTCGTTTCGAATCGTGTTAATGCCCGTTACGACGAAGCATCGTAATGATCCAATTGGGTTTAATTTATCGTTCGTGTGAAACAAACCGATCTTCGCGCGTGTTCCCGACCGATCCAAGATGAAGGTCAAGTCGCTCGTAAAAAGAACATTAGATTGCGTTTCGAGGCTTAAATTTGTTTGACCGAGTCTCGCGAATCTCGAACGAGCGGCTGAAACGCGTGCCGATCGACGATCGACGGACGCGCAGAACTCTACGCGAGATCGCGGGGCCGAATTTTCCGAGGCGGATCGACCGGCGATTAAAAATACTTAATTTCCGTTCGAACGATATTTCCAAGCTTTCGCTCTCGATGCGCGCGTACGCTCGAGGAGCATTCAATGCACTTCCCACGCCGAACCGCGAAATTACCCGTGTAAAGCTGACGATTTATAGCCGCGTGGCATTGTTCGATGCTTCTCGTTTCACCCTATCGATCGCTGTGTTTCCCATTGTCTTATAACTCGGCCCAACGTTTCTTCCTTTTTACCCGAGACTCCGGACGAGACTTTCCGCGAGGAACACCGGTGGAAATCAGTTCTCGAATCGGGTTTCGACCTGCAACACGATGGAACTACCACTGTCTTTCGAATTTACGAAAATAGTGAGTTCGTCGATGTTGGAACTACCACGCGAGTCGGACCGATTACAGGAGATACAAACGATTTTCCGAGAAATTCGACTGGAATGTAACTCGGTCGAAGTTCCAGTAAGTTTTCGGTGGTTACAGCGTGAAGTGCGAACGATAAATTTCTGAACCCGATGCTCGATCGAACGAGCTCGATGGGAATAGTGGCGGGACACCATTCAGAAGTTTAACACGCGTACAGAATCGCGTGCAAGAGACACACATAATGTAATTGGCTTAAACTGTAGACGTCGCCAGCGTGCTTATCGTTGTCTCTGTCCGACCGAGCGGTACGCCGAGAACGACTGTTACGTTCATCTATTTGCGGCCACTTCGTACGGCACATATCCATTGTGAAACGTTAAAAATAAGCTCGCGAACTCGAACGTGGGAAGAGAATTCGATCGGTGTCGAACTTGTACTCGCATCGGAGGCTCGTCCATCGCGAACTTGCGCCTGATAACAAACCGGGGCGCGTTCGCTTCGCCAAAAAGCCTCGCCGTTTCGCCCCTCAACGTGGCGCTTGTATTCTAACGTGCAAATCTTGTCGACGAGTCAATTAAAAAACAATGGGAAGCTTTCGAGTAAAATGCGAAACGCTGAGCCAATCGAGTAGTTTAACGAAGTGGCAATTTCAAATCGAGTAACCCTTTGCACTCGGCAGTTTCTGGAAATATTTAACATTTTTCGACAAGACGTTCTTTGAGACTGACTCAAAGGGGAACAAAGCTATTTTGTTCCAATGTTTCATGTATCGGATCATTGTACAAAGTTAAACATTGCATATCAGATTTTATAGTTTTGTCAAATCGAGTGACCCTTTGCACTCGGCAGTTTCTCGCTAGAAATATCAAAGAGAAATCACAAGTGCATTGGGGAACAAAGCTATATTCCAATATTTCATGTATCGGGTCACTATACAATGTTAAACATTAAATATCAGATTTTAGTTTTGTCAAATCGAGTGACTGAGAGTCACCTCCCGAGAACAAAGGATTAATTACACAAGACTTTCGGCCGACCCAATAGTTACCGCGCGAAATATAGTAGAGTGTCTTTCTCTCTAGAAATCTTGAAAGTTGTTATTTGAAATCGCGAAAAATCGCCATTCCGCTGATATTCGCTGACGAGACTCGGAAATCGAACTCCGCTCGCTTACGCGGTGATCGCGAGGAACGGCCACGTATCGACGAAGGATCAACGAACTTCGGCCCCCGACTTCGGCTGGTTCCACGTTAGCCGCGCGCGGAAGGAGTCGATGGGGCCGGACAAATAGAAAACGGTCAGATATTCTCGGAGCGTTCCGAGGGTTGCACGCACTCGGCGAACTCCAGCTCCTCGTTTCGCGGGATGACGCAACTGCTCGTGAATTTCGGGAGTCGCGGCGCTCTCGGGTTGCATAACCGTCGGCAGGAGATTCTCCCTGGACGGCGAATGAATGAACCCTTCTCGCCTAGATACCGCCTCGCTTTCGGCCGATCCGCTCGGCCGCCTCTATCGGTGCCAATTAGGCGTGCATGTAAACAACTAGGGGTGCCAAGTTGAAACAGTACACGTGCGCGCAGTACGCTCCCCAACGGGCAGCTTTACTGCGCGTTTTGATCGTTAGATGGACATTTTATCCGCTTGTTTTCGACTCGCGTTTAAAATACATCCAGCGAATCGGTCGGACGATATGAAAATGCGTCAGCGTCGAGAGCGGTCGGACGGCTGAGATTTCGTCGGGACTGTTCAAAGTCCCCTGAAAGACGCGTCTTGGCGCGCGTTCTGCGAATCGCGCTCGAACGTTTATTTGAAAAGCCACGGAACCGCGATCGGATTCCCGATCGATTCGATCATTCAAACTAAACAACTGTTTCAGATGGCGAGCGACGACTCGAGAGGTGCCCGTGGAGAACCGGAGGAGCCGCGAGTGAAAACGAGGCGTTCCGAGGCGAGGATCGTCGTCGCACCGAGAGCCTTGCCCCTAGAACGAGCCGTGCTTATGAATGAAGTGACCGACCCGGCGAGGCTCGAAAAGCGCGCGAATCTTTTCAACGGGGAACAAGTGGTTCCCGTGACAGTGATCCGTGAGTACCTCGAGGAGCCCGCGCCGCTCTCCGCGATAAGGGACCGCTCGAGCCCGGTGAATGAGGAGGATGCGTATCGCTTACCTCGTTTGAAGGGCGCGACATGCATGACTCTAAGAGGGACCGATAAGAAGGGCGGACTGTGAGACCGCCTCTCATGACACTACGCCGACTGTTCAATGAGAGCAACGTCTTTGCCAGGCTATAGCTGTCTTCTGCTCGCCGTTCGACACCTCTTTCGCGGAAAGTTTCCTCGCGATTCGCTCGTTCGGGTCTCGACGGGCGACCGTTCCGTGCGCCCTTTCTTCCTCGGCGTTCGCTACCGATAGCACCCCTCCGGGAACCTCTGGTCCTCTTCTGTCCTCTGTCGCTCGCTGCCACCGGTGCACCGATCGAACGGCTCGGCCGAGTGTCTCCTAAGCGTTTCTGCCGCGAATTCCTGTGCGCGTCCGTTGGAGCGAAGTCGTATTGAGCGCAGCGTGACGTTGCAACACGATATGCACCGATCCAGCTCCGTCGATGAACTGGGCACTCGGAAGGAGAGGTAGCCGTCGAACACCGACCGGGAACGAGGACGGGTAGGGGAAGCTGCGAGGAGACCGAGAGGGATAGGACGCGCGAGCGCGAGCGCGACCGCCCGGCGTCGGCGCCTCGCCTCGCTCGATATCGTTCTTCTGCCTTCGAACTTCTCTTCCGTGCGTGTGCACGGCACGCGCGTCGGTTCACCCCGTAACCCAATCACTGCTCTTTAACGTCTAGCGCGTCTAGCGACTCGCATATCGCTCTTCAATTTTTAGGATCTAGAGGCGTTCGACTGTTCGCTGGTTTTTCGGAACGTTTCTTCGACGAGCGTATGAAAATGATTAGCAGCATGAAACATAACAAAAAGTAGTTTATTTTTACAATAGATAAAAATGTACAATAAACATTCAATAATGTATTCCTAAGATGCACTACTACAATAATCGTTTGCGGCGTACTGTAACAATTAAAAATCCTCTTCGTGTAAATGCATGTTGAGTTTATTGGTAGATTCATGGACTTTGAGGACGCTCGGAACACCGTCGTCTTTAGAATTAACATTTAATGGACACTGATGCTTTCCTTCGACTGTTCCGTTTGTGTTTGAGTTCTTTGCATTCAAGCACTTGTGCTCTCGATTTTCTGTTTAGTGGAGTCGAGTGTGTGTCTCTTTTTATGAACCAAACTCTTTCGGATATGAGGAAGCCCGATGCATCGATGCAGGGTATTGTAATTCGTTCTTCTGTTCGCAACTGGTGCATCTGTGTTCTACACACGCTCGTGAGAAACAGATGTATAGGATAGATCTCTCGGCTTCATTGTAACGAATGAACTTTTCCATCTTGCTTGTTTTTATGATAGGCCAGCTTGTGTGTGCAGTTCCACGATATACAAAAAATTGTAGTAATGTGCAGTATACATAATACTCCCCGATTAAGTATTTGTAACAATTATTTATGTATAATACAAATTACAAAAAATAAATATTAGGAATGATTCAGTGTGCTTTGATAAAGTAGCGGTAGACGAGAGTTGCCAAAGCCCCGAGTGCGATAGGAATCAGCCACGACCTCCAAGAACCACTGCAACTGCTAATCATCAGAACACGTTGCAGCATCGACTATTTACACATTACATATTTTAAATTTCGATAACATTAGAAATTTGGATAGCACAAACGTGACTTACGAATACGACACATCTTGTAGCTGTATATAAAAAAGAAGCATGGAAGCGTATTGTTACGAATCTAATAAGCATGTTATTAGAACGATTAATAACAAAACTTCTAATTGTGCTATCCAACAAACGGTAACACAAACAGTTACAAAACAATAATCATAACCTTGATGCAAATAAGTTGTTAGTAATAAAATTAGACATAGCCCTGTAACCTTGTACTTTTTTAAAACAATATCAATGTCTGAATTGATTAAGGAAAGGTAATAAAAATTTACCTGGAATTGTCCTCGTGAAGCATGACATTTTCCTCTGTTACGTCAGCCTAAAATCAATACATTTTTACTAAGAATATAGCAACTTTGATTTTTGCAAATTATAGGGCAAATAGCTGAATATGCACTTACATCTTCGAGTTCTCCAATTTTATATGGTTCCATCATCTGTCTGGCATCACTAGAGTGGCCAATATCCTCGAAAGGTTCTGTTGCATCTTGACCAGCCTGTTCAATAATAATTTCTTCTCCGCCCGGATGCTTAAATTTCAAGCAAAGAGAGATATTTATACACGTGTTTTACAGGAGCATTATGATAAACGAAAACATTACAGAATAGAAGATTATAATTATATCAACCTCACTAAGAAACGCAGACAAATTGTAAACTTTACGATTAATGATAACCCACAGATCGCTGGTATCAGTGTGTTTAGCTACTTCTTCTCGACTGTATAATTTAATAGGAGCAGTATCGGACTTAGTGCTCTCGGTCGCCATGTTTTTTCTTCTTTTCTTCTTCTTTCTTTATTCTTTCAAAGACGGTTAAATATTATATATATATATATATATGTATATGTATCACTGAAAGTAACGAACAAAATGTATGTTAAGTACAGGCAGTTATATTTTGTTTTAAATTATTACAACGTTCGTTAAAAATAGCAAGTGAAACATACGAGACTTTTTCTGCAACTTATCCGTATTAGCTACTGCTACAGTCTGAATTTAGTGAATCGGTTAGTACAAGGGTGTCGAACTATTTCCCCTCAAACTAGTAACTCTCGAACCGTGATTCCCCTACTACCTCTGTTCTAAGAGTTTGTTGAAACTGTGTGTGTAAGCGGTTTTATATTTTTAAATGGTTTAATTTAAAAATGAGTCGTTATAAGTTTTTACCGTGAACAAGAGCAGTTTTACTTAAGAATTATTGTGATTTTCTAACTATTTTTGAATTTGTGGGGGAAAATTCTTATCTCAAAGTTCAACCAATGAGAAACCTTAATTTTCTTACAAATAAAGTTACGTCGGTTAATGTA